AGGTCTTGAAGAACAGTTTTCTAACACTCGACACTTTTAATAAACCTTTTTAGTTACGCGGAAACTTCATATATGAATACACTCGCATATTTTCCTAACATAACGAAAAGTCAAGATTTATTCGTTTGAGGCTAAATACTCGTGTTATGTTTGTAATATTTTATTAATGAGTGAATGTTTGCATCGTCCGGCAGTGAACGATATATACTTTGTTCACATTCCGAAAACTCACTACACCACGCGGGATAGGACAGCATTATTATATTGAGATATTTATGCTTCATACTGTCACTACAATGTTCCATTACCGTAGCATTGATTAATTATCTCTCTAGCGCATTGCCGTTTAGATATTTTTAAGATACTGTCAATGCCTAGGATGAAGATTGGCTTAGGTTAAGAAGACCAGCATCATGATACCCTTATCTTAACTGTTCAATTAATTTATGAAGTGAAATGATTAATGATTCACTTTGTGTGCGCAAGTTATCATGTTGAGGGTGTGAGGCAGAGTGAGGGAGGGGGTGGTGGTGTTCGTGCGTGTTGTTGTTTAGCATTTTATTGTTCCTTAGTTTAGTTGACGTTTGCCACTCTTCTCTCGCGTCTTCCACAACCCGAGGTGTTTGTTTACTTGAGTTCATCCATATGCAAAAAAAAAAAGAAAAAAAATAGAGTTAAGGTTATAGTAAAGATTTCTGTATAAGGAAATGTGAAGATAAGCAGTACCCCCCACCCGCGTAGGGCCGCCCATTTCGGTCATGGTGTGGTGTTGCCCCCCTCCCACACGTTCCAGCCCGTCACGGTGTGGTGTTGGCCCAGCCAAGTAGACATGACGGATCACTGCACACACCCTGCCCCACTCTTATCACGCTGTCTCTTGTTTGATGTTTACCAGCTGGTCCAGGCTGTGTTGGAGTCTTACCTCGTGTTCACCAGCTTAGGTCCTGAGGCTGGAGTCCTACCTCGTGTTTACCAGTTGATGTCTTGTGGCTGTATTGAGTCTTACCTCGTGTTCACCAGTTGATGTCCTGAGGGCTGTATTGAGTCCTACCTCGTGTTTACCAGTTGATGTCTTGTGGCTGTATTGAGTCTTACCTCATGTTCACCAGTTGATGTCCTGAGGCTGTGTTGGGTCTTACCTCGTGTTCCTGTTGATGTCCTGAGGCTGTGTTGAGTCTTACCTCGTGTTCACCAGTTGATGTCCTGAGGCTGTGTTGAGTCTTACCTCGTGTTTACCAGTGGTCCCGGGGCTGTGTTGAGTCTTACCTCGTGTTTACCAGCTGAGGCTCTGAGGCTGTGTTGAGTCTTACCTCGTGTTAACCAGCTGAGGTCCTAAGGCTGTGTTGAGTCTTACCTCGTGTTAACCAGCTGAGGTCCTAAGGCTGTGTTGAGTCTTACCTCGTGTTTACCAGTTGATGTCCTGAGGCTGTGTTGAGTCTTACCTCGTGTTCACCAGTTGAGACCCTGAGGCTGTGTTGAGTCTTACCTCGTGTTTACCAGTTGATGTCCTGAGGCTGTGTTGAGTCTTACCTCGTGTTCACCAGTTGAGACCCTGAGGCTGTGTTGAGTCTTCGTGTTTACCAACTGATGTCCAGAGAGAGAGAGAGAGAGAGAGAGATTCATGGCTACCTGGTAAGACACTCAACTCGCCATTACGAACACTGGGACCTCAACCTGGGTCAGGGGCGGCCAGTCATGTCACACAAGGACAGGGCCAGATTATCAAAGGCTTATACGTCAGATTATTCAGTATATGGTGCCATGAGACCGTATCTTGACTGGCCCATTGAAGTTAGGAAATAATGATGCCGACACTAAGACTGACGTAACCCACTTAGCTAATTTCATCGTAAGATTATCACACACTGACTTAATGTAACCTAACTTAACGTAAGCTAATCTAACGTAAACTAATCTAATGCTCCAGGCAACGTTAGGGTGAGGGTTTTAATACCCAGGTGATCCTTTAGGTGTATTCCCTCGTGACGTTTGGGGATGGAGTGTGGTGACGGTCTGTGAACCTCAAGAATCATGACCATTCATAGTTGACTGACTTAACTTAGGGTGACTTAACTTAGGGTGACGTAACTGAAACTGTAACTAATTTTGTAATCAGAATATTTACAGGTAGATATTATAAGTTACCTTTTAGTTTTTAAATAACTGAGCCTTTTGAGAATTGTATAGTTCTTTTAATTATTCACCTGTTGATCACATTTTGAATACAATGCTGAAAGAGAGAGAGAGAGTGTGTGTGTGTGTGTGTGTGTGTGTGTGTGTGTGTGTGTGTGTGTGTGTGTGTGTGTGTGTGTGTGTGTGTGTGTGTGTGTGTGTGTGTGTGTGTGTGTGTGTGTGTGTGTGTGTGTGTGTGTGTGTGTGTGTGTGTGTGTGTGTGTGTGTGTGTGTGTGTGTGTGTGTGTGTGTGTGTGTGTGTGTGTGTGTGTGTGTGTGTGTGTGTGTGTGTGTGTGTGTGTGTGTGTGTGTGTGTGTGTGTGTGTGTGTGTGTGTGTGTGTGTGTGTGTGTGTGTGTGTGTGTGTGTGTGTGTGTGTGTGTGTGTGTGTGTGTGTGTGTGTGTGTGTGTGTGTGTGTGTGTGTGTGTGTGTGTGTGTGTGTGTGTGTGTGTGTGTGTGTGTGTGTGTGTGTGTGTGTGTGTGTGTGTGTGTGTGTGTGTGTGTGTGTGTGTGTGTGTGTGTGTGTGTGTGTGTGTGTGTGTGTGTGTGTGTGTGTGTGTGTGTGTGTGTGTGTGTGTGTGTGTGTGTGTGTGTGTGTGTGTGTGTGTCGTCCCTCATTTACACCACCTTATGTAGCAACATTCTTAAGTGCATGTTGTTGTTGTTTGAATTTACGACATCGATATTTGTTTTATCGATTTTTAATGACTTACTGGTCTTTATTAGTATGAACAAGAACACCGTGTGGGGATGGAGACACCTAGTGTATTGAAGGGTACTAAACTCAACACAGGTACAGTACTTAGGGGGAAGCTCAGTGTTTATGAGTTGGCGTGGTAGTGTTTGGTTTGGTTTGTGTAGATGTTAACAGCGTGTTTATGGGCTGTTTCGTATCAACTGTAAGGGGAGGTTGAGAGTTACACTGGCTTTGGGGGAACATAGACTCACTCTTAATTTCTTCTATACACACACACACACACACAAGCAGCACCACGCCAAACTTTGAACCTTTTAATAGATGATGCCAGACTAGTGACAGCATTTCCTCGTTGATCTCTGAAAACAGGTTAACTAACAACTTATACCTTGAACTTTTTTTGAGTGGTGACGTGAGACTGAAGGGGGAGTGTTGTGGTGTGTTGATGGTGTAGAGAGTTGTGTCTGGTGAGTGTGTTGTGGTGTGTTGATGGTGTAGAGAGTTGTGTCTGGTGAGTGTGTTGACAGGGTGAGGTGTTGCCGAGTTAGTAGTGTCTGGCTCACTGCGTTGTTTCCTGTATTGTAGACCACACCCATCTAAATTGTTGTCCACCCTTACACTCACCTGACTGCCTCACTCACCTAACTGCCCACACATCTGACTGACCACTAACAGAGTCATCAAGCCTTCTCCTCCACCTATCCGTCTACCCAACAACTCATCACCCAGCCAGTCAGTGAGGCAGCTGGCACGCCACCCTCCTGGTCCTGTCATATATGGCCTTGTTTACCACTACCCCATAACTTACTGTATATGTTACCGGAGGGAGTATGATGTGATGTGGTGTGGTGTGGTGTTGGGTGTTTGGTTGGTGTGTTGTGTGATGTTATGATGGTGAGAGGTGTGGTGTTAAGATGGTTAGGTGTGATGTGGTGTTAGGATGGTGTGGTGTCAGAATGGTGTGGTGTAGTGTTTGGATGGTGTGTTGATAGGATGGTGTGGTGTGGTGTTAGGATGGTCTGGCATGTGTGTGTGTGTGTGTGTGTGTGTGTGTGTGTGTGTGTGTGTGTGTGTGTGTGTGTGTGTGTGTATCCCATAACTCAGACATGAGACATAGGAATCTGTATATAAATTCCTCCATTCATATATTTTCTTTGTCATTACAAGATAGTAACTTAGTTGTACTAGTTAGTTTTTGTATAATAATAATAATAATAATAATAATAATAATAATAATAATTCCGTAAAATTTGTCGTACAAGGATACAGTTTGATAGGCACGCACAGTATTATAGACCTGTAGTTATACAGTTCAGCATAATATAGACAATGTACTGTAGGTATATCGTGTACGTAGGTCTTGGGAGTATACAGTTTCCTATGTACCTAGAGAGTACTGATATAAAACAGTGGTACACAGTAAGGCAATTTGCACCAAGGATAGTCGATAAAGCTGTCAAAAGCTATTTCCAGTGGGGTCCTTTTGAGATACCAACTTCTGACCGATTAAAAAGTAGGGGAACCCTTGTAAATTACATATAAATATCACGTATAATTTCGATTATTTACTAAATTATAATTCCTTTCTTTTGGTTCAGTCACACTTGCACTCTGCCTCACGTACACACACGCCACATTCATTCAATTCTCGGATCTCATGAAGATTAGGAAACCCTGCTCATTTTACCTGATGATTTAACAATCTCAACCTGACAAAATCAAACCTAACCCCCCCCCTTTTGCCTTTGGTTGTTTAATCATCTGGTGAAATGAGCGGAGGTTTCTGATCTTCACCAGATCCTGTTTTTGCTTCATCTCTACACATTTTGTTAATCTTTCACAAGTATTTTTTTTACTCGTAAATATCAAAAGTTAACTACAGAAACCACTATATTTCTTTCCGAAATAATTTTCAGATTACTTAAACTTGTTTACTTTCTTTCTCAAGATCTTTTAGTCATTGTTGCCAAGAAAGTTAATGTTTCCACGTTCAGTATTCATGTCAGGATTAACAGTGTAAATTAAATTTCTTTGTTATTTCTTTATTTTTCTAAGTCAACTTCCACATTATTCTTGTACCATTATGATTACATTTTTCTCTCTAATTAATACTATATTTCCTTTGCGGCAGATGTACCATCAGGAGAGGGTGGAGGAGGTGCGGACAGATCAACGCTCTTCTGGCGGAGGGAAGAAGTCCTCCCTCAACAATAACCTCTCCGAACTTGACACCTTACTTCAGGACCTTAATAATGCACGATATACTGGAAACTTCAAAGGTAAGACATTTTACTTTAGTTACCCCGATGTCACAGGCTTGAGTTCTTACGTTTTCTTTAGTAGTTCGCCGTACCTCGATTTCTATGTCATCCTTTTAGAGGGAGTTGAAGGGGGACCTGAACAGCCCCTAAGTTAAGAAGTCTATCGGTGCAGGTGCCTGGTGCTATCTATGATTCTTATAATGTAATAATAATAAAAAGTAATCTGTAGTATCGATATGTGATTAGTCACTGTCCAATTGTTTAAACTATTTCAGAATAACGAACATTATGTCCAACCAGATAATAAAATGAAATGCCTCACAAAGTAACCAGTACAGTCATTTAAACCCAACAGCGTTCATTCATTATCATCACAATCAAAATGGCTCATTAGTAGACTATCTGACAGTGTTAACGGTGACAATTACATCAGGCCTCCAACTCAACATTTCAAAACTGTCTACCATTTTGCCTTTTAGTACATTGGCTACATCATCAACTACAACATAATATCTTGTACTGTATTATAGTGGTTTGATGTATTTTCTCAATATTGCATTGATATTTCTTACAAATACAGAACGGCCAGTAATATGAACACGGTTGAACACTGAACTTATGCTTCTAACAGGATGATGAACTCGTTTATAACAAAAACTGATCTCATAATGAACCATTGCATCTTAGACGTTGTACTGTACACACTAACGTAGACAATACATTATTTCCTCCCTTCACGGCCTATCTTATCTTACCTTATTCAAGACCTGGTGACGGATGTCCCACAACTCACAACCTTTCTTAGAGCCTAAATGTTGACAAGTGACTCGACCAGGTGTCCAGGTGACCAAATTAATCCACAGTTGCATTACTTCTTAATAAATCAAACAGACTTAATTGTGTTGCTGCCCATCACAGGGCGATTTAAAAGATTTTTTTTAAATTTTGTGATAAAAGTTTCTCAAACTGGGAGCCTGCAACATCGATACATCTATTTTAGCACACTCGTTTCCGACTATATTCTTGAGATTGATAGTTCCCCGTACCCCAGACAGTTGAAGAAGCTTCCTCTAGCTACTGTCTTGCTCTTGGTGATTCAGGTACTGAGTGTAGGAGGACTCGGGAGGATGGAGCAACTGGAGCTTCTTTATTTGCTACATCAAGTAAATGTTACCTGATCACTTCTTAGAATTATTAGCAACAGCAACATTGCCAGGAAAAGTAGGTTATCCAGATGGTCCAATTGGCAACATAGGTGACACAACAGGCGGCTCAGACGACATAGATATCATGAAGCAGGAAGTGACAAGTTAACGCGGTTACCCCGGGTAAAGTCTTGCTGGTCTCCGTTTTCTCTGATCTTGGTTTACACCTCCGTTCTCTGTTTCCGAGGGAGCCCTTGAATCATAGAGCTGCTCATCAATTTATATCCAGTATTTGTAATAGGAAAACATAAAGGTTAATATCATTGAAGAATCTCACAGAATATTTAAAATCCTGAACACAGATCAGAGAAGATACAGTATATCTTCCATGAGTGATGTGAGCGTCTTGTGACCGCTGGAACACTGTATTGGGAAAGTTGACATACTGTATGCTTTAAATGGCTAGTTTTAAGTTTTATGATCGTGATTGCCTAAGACCGCTTTCTATAACACAGTATTCAAGGTCACATTATACATGATGTATACACCAGTTACCTTTCACGATCTACAGGTATACAATGTATTTGTGGTCATTATGTGTATATACTGAGTTCCTTGTTGTATGCTTTGGAACATCGCATTAATGTTAGGTGATTATACTGATAAAATAAATAACGTGACAATAATAATAATAAGAACTACGGTAATAGTATAACAACAACAACAACAACAACTATTGGTAATAAAAATGTTAATATTTACTTAGCAATATTAGTATTAGGCAAAGCACCAGTATTACATCAATATTACCAATAAAATAATGTCATAATACTCTAGATACAATAACATGTAATAATAAATCTTTAAAATATTACACAAATATAATTGAAAAACATCAGATATAAATTTTCCCAGTCATAAGATTCAAGTTTGCCCAGTTGTCACGCTGAACAGATAAGGAAGTAATGCCTCACCACGGAAAGAGTGACAGATGTGTGACGCAGTGTAGGGATGGAAGCAAAAGTAGTGCTAAACATAAAATAACCCTGATCACACTGGATAACATCCTTCTCACATGTGTCCGGGCCAAGCAGGATCCCAACCCTGTAATGACTAGGACTATAGTTTTGTTCCTCCTCTCACACTATTGTACTGTTCTTCGGAGCAGTAGATGCATAACCAATGAACCATGTCAGTGGCTGTGAAATAATAACAGTGTTTATGTTTACTGTACTAAAAAAACTGCTCTATTAAAATAACATAACATACTCGACATGATAGTTCACCATAATGTTGTGAAAAGATAAACTGCCTTAAATTTTCTAGTGTTTAATCTTTTGTCTCGCCAGCGGGATGTCTGATAAAGTATTGCTTTTTTCGGCAGCCACGATGACAGCATCACCGTTAAGTTTTTATTAATGAGTCAGAATCTCAAGAACCTGCAGGAGAAACGTAATTGTAAGGTGACAAAATTTCCTTGAGCTAAAAGCGGAACATCTTATAATAATAATACTAAATATATTTAGCCAACAACATAAATGGTACTCTACACCTCTTGGATAATATGAAAAGTACTATTTGATTTAATAGCTCTTAGGATGGCTTACCAATGCATAAAAATATCGTACAGTACTTACGTTTCAATTCTTGTACTTTTCACTAGATGAGATCTTCTTTAGTATCTCTGGAGTGGATTTCAATATATTGTAGAACTCCAGACAAGTTTGATTGAAATTTCTCTTGGCTACCATTAAAGCTTTGAGGTTTGGGACTTGAAGATGTATTTTATCAGATGTCCACATTTTATTCATTTGAGAGAAAGTACGTTCAGTAGAAGAATTAGTTCCAGGAGGACAGAGTATGACCTGAACCATTTTGGACATGCGTTGATGACTGATATCTCTGTCTTTGAACTGAGTGAATAGTTGCATTCAGTGTTGGTAACCAGTGTTCATTCCACTCTGATACTTCCTCAACATTAATGTACTTTGCAACACACGTAAACTCGTCAAATAACTCAGTCTCAAATTTGGGTGAAAAAAAATGAGCCACAAAATCAATTATTTTCTCAACATGTGACCAATTTGTAACTTGTTTTAATGAAGCCCACTGCATATGCTCAAGGATTTGCAAGTAATCCAATCATTGATCTAAGTACTGAACACATGTGTCATAAAACTCTACTACTATTTTCTTTACAAATCAATCATTCCATCTTGTTCAAGTTTGTTTATGAGCCCCCTGACAGAGTGGTCCAGACACATTCGCTGTCTTTAACTGCAGATTTTGTTTCAAATCATAAACTACTCTCATTACTTCCACAGCTGAAATTTGTTCACTTTCAATCTTTGAAATAACTTGGTGAAAGGTGACTGACAGTACAAAGAGTTGAACGAAATATCTGCTCATGGGTTTTCAGAAAGTTTTTCAGTATTACTAGACACTTACGTTGACTCTAAGGTATGATCTTAGACCAGGGAACAACTTCAGTATTCTTCCAACTCCAGGCATAAATGCCAACCACCTTGTTTTACTGTGCCCCAGTAGCTGCTTATATTCAATGTCCACAAAACTTTTTCAGTTCTTCTTCCTGAATATTATAAATGCACAATAAAAAAAAACAATGAATTCTTATTCTCGATAATTTCAAGGCTTGTACAAACATTGGAAATTTACACGATCAGCTGCGGAAAATCGCTAAAATGGCAAATATGGCTGCCGTCTCTGCGGTCAATGTGTACTTGTACGGTCCCGGTATGGACTGGTTATCTGACAGATAATCAGACTCCACCTAGGGAGATCTACATTCACTGCCAAACACTTGTTCAAGAACGTAACGTAGCATAAGAACAAAACATAGAAAACTAAATGTGATCCTTCATACTGGCAGTACTATGTAATTCTATTAAAGCGGGACATTTATTAACGTTTGCTCCAAAGGCGGGACATTTTCTGGACGACTTGAGAAAGCTGGACTGTCCCGCCGAAAATCTGGACTCTGGTCAATTTACAACGGTAATTGTTGCCACACTTGTTACACGGTAGGTCATTGATGTTTAGATCAGAAATAAGGGGTCCTGGTGGTGGCTGTGACCAGCTACCCAGCGATAGAACTGCCAGCTTGTTTTATACAGCCAGCGGACGAGGAAGGCTCCCCCAGCAACCCCCCCCCCCTCCCCCCAACGTTTCCCTCGTCAAAGAAGGTTAAGTTAAGGTGAAAAGAAAAAGACCAAGATAAATATTTACTCGCGAAGTAAACTGTGTTAAGAGCAGTTTTTTACCAGCTCCTCCACAAGACCATCAGTAATAAAAAGAAAGATTTATAACTGAACAAAAAAGTTAATTGTAATATACGAAATTAAATTTACGAGAGCAATAACAGTGGTGTGATAGGCAGTAGAGATAAGTGTGTGAGGGTGTGGTGCTGTGGCGTCTAGCTGGTTGTCGGTAATAACAAGAAACAAAAAAACGTTATGTAATTCAGTGAAAAGCTAATTTTTAATAAAACTAAAGTTACAGAGTAGTAGTAATGTTATGTTAGGTAGTATAGAAAGAAAGATACAAAGTGAAGGTGTGTGAGCATGTGGGCGAGGCGGCCCAGTTGGCGCGCGTGTGTGATGTAAGTGTGTGTGTGTGTGTGTGTGAGTTATTAGCACAAGGGCTTAACTTATCTCCCAAGGTGCTCAAAATACCTCCTCCCGCCCCTCACATATTGTTCAAATGGCGCGCGACCTGACGGCGGCGAGTATAGAGGCGCCCGGCTAAATATGGCGCGCCATCACATGTGTTTATGGTGTGTGTTTCTCTGGTGGTGTTAGTGTGGGCTTTCTACTCTTTGTTGTGGACTTGTCGAGGTACACACAACACTCTTCT